GCTAGGGGATTGAACCGCAGTCCCTGTGCTTTGCTAAGCTTGTTCTAAGTAGGTGCTTTAGACCATTGAGCCATCTCACCAGCCCCCACTGTTAAATTCTTGAATTTTTTAATTTTTTTTATTTAGCCTGTCGCGGTGCTAGAGGATAGAACCGGCGAATGGGACGTCGCCAGCACCGAAGACATGACGCCGTGAGGGCGAGAGCCCCTTTTTCTGCCTCCGTACATCACGGGGAACGGGACTGCACACCCGCTTCCCGCCAAGAAATGGAGGGTCACACTCGGAAGTTCCGCCTGGCCTCCCTCCACCGGTGCGAACGCAGAACCTACCCTCTCCACGCAGTGCTCCCTTTAATGTTGATATGTGGTATGTGTGTAAACAGTGTAAATGTACTACAGTGTAAAACAAGGCATGCCTCAGATCAGCAATAAATTACTGTTTGGATAATATTATATTGTGCTACTAATCAAATCTGTCCTGGGCTGGCCAGATAGCTCAGCAGATTAAAGCCCCTGCTTAGGCAGACAGAGGGGCCTGGAGTTCAATCCCTGGCCTGCTGTGTCAGCCCTGCCCTCAGGGCGCACTGAGACAACAATTAAGACTGGGCATGGTGGCGGATGCCTGTAATCCCAGCACTTGGGAGGCTGAAAACAGGACAATCACTACAAGTCTGATCTATGTAGTGAGACCCTGTACTAAGTACATACAAAAAGATACAAGTCAAATCAAATCTGTCAGTCTTTATCAGGGTGCTTAACAAGTAGAGTTAAAAATAAAAGGCATTGTAATTGATCTGTTACATAGTTTTGCCTAAATTGATAAGATTTTTTTTTTTTTTAAAGTATTTAGTACAGAGTCTATAGGGTCTCACTACACATATTGGATTTGTAGTGATCCTTCCTGTTTTTCAGCCTTCCAAGAGCTGGGATTACAGGCACATGTCACCACACCCAGTCTCAAAAGCTGGCTCAGCCTGGGGGCAGGGCTGGAAAGGCAGGCCCAGAGAATATCAGGATAAATTGAAATTGATACATTTTATGTTTTTTACAGTACCAGGAATTGAACTCAGGACCCTGAGCTTTCCAGGCAAGCGCTTATTCTACTGAGCTATCTCCCCAGCCACTAATTGACTTTATTTTTTATTTT